TTGGGGTGTCCGGCATTTCCCGAACTGTGTTTGGACTAAAGGCAAGTTTGGAGTATTTTTTTCTGTTATTTAGTTTTTAGTGAAATTTTATGATAAAACTAAAAATTTTGATATAAAATGGCTTTTGTTTTTACCAACTTTGACCATAAACCACATCATTTAATTGGTCAAATTTATGAAAAAAAAAACGTAAAAGACTATAGTTGTAGTGTGAGAAAATTTTAGCAATATGCATTGAAAAATCTATTTGTTAGTGAAAAGGAAAAAATATGCTATTTATTTTAAACTTTGACCTTCAATATTACTTTAAGGGTTGGTTTAAAAAAAACCTTTTTTCAAAAAATTTGTATTGCCTAGAATTTCTGTAGGTATACCTATTAATTAGCGAGATCAAAATTTCAGTATACATAGAATTATAGAGTTTTTAGCGAGATTTTTTATTTCTCATTAAAATACAAAAGTTTCATAAATTGGGAAAAATCAGTTTTAGGTTTTAAACAATTCATAAATTTAGTTCTGTCTGTATTTTTTTAATATAAAATTAATTGATTTAGACTCGCTATTTCTATTGTCAAAAATAATATACATACTATAGAATCTCAGATGAAAATTTTACAAAAACCTGTTGATAAGTGGTATTTACCCCATTAAAAAAATTATCTGGTTTAACTGTTTAACTTAAATTCAATTTACTAAACCTTTCCTAAAACCATTTTACTATTACTATTATGTACACTGGACCTGTCCATGTAAATTAATGAGATAAATCTTGCCTATTTTAATATGATATGTATACCTAACTAATGTTTTATATTATTAAAATTTTAATTCATGAAAAAATACCTTAATGTTATTAATATTAATTTCAAATTGTATCAATGTATTTGTATATTACAGACAATATAATTCATTAATATTAGAACCAATAAAATGATTCCATAGTTACGCATTTTATCACAGCGACAATATTTTATATCACCTTGTTTACACGTTACTAAGGATTTTGACACTTTTCTTGATTTGACATTTGTTGACATTTAAATACTGTGTTTGTTAAATGATCAAAATAATGAATTATAAATTCTAAAAGATCGATGGGTTGGTGTAAACGATAATGAAATTAAGGCAAGTAAATTAGGTCTATTAAAATATTTTTATATTTTTAAGCAATTTAATTTTAAATGTCAAACTAACAAGTCGTTAAATCCTAAAATTCATTATATTTTCTCACTAAATATAACTCGTGGTATGATTAATTACCGTCCTGCGGACTCGTGAAATTTGCAGCTCGGTTTCAATTCTAAAATATCATCGATGATAATTATGATGATTATAATCATACCACTTGTTATATTATGTGTGATAATAAATAAAATAATATTACCTTAAAAAGCGAATTTTTAGTTATAATCAATGTTACCTATAAAAGGTTATTTCATTTGTAAACATTTATTTCAGGCTCTTTATTCTCGTCATTATAACATATACAACCCAACTCAGAATAAACTACCATAGTATTTTACATGGAGCTCCATGGTATTTTAACAAAAACATACAAAAAAACTTGCCGTTTGACGTTATGACAATGACATTTTTGTTCAGTTTTTCAACACTTCACTTTAACACACAAGGGTAGACGTTACGCGTCCACTGATAAGTTAACAAATTATAAAAATATATATAGCAACTTTAAAAAATGAGGTGATTATTATTAGTCTCTGATATTTGTTAAACGGACCCAAAATAATATGACTGCTGCAGTTCCAAGGCATATCAGCTTATTGATTTTATTTTAAGCAATTAAAAAAAAAGACAATTTATTGATAAAATCACGAGAAGTGTTATGTTATTTATCATTTAAAATAATAATAAACGTTTTTATGAATATTTTATTAAAAAATATTGACTTACCTTTTGCTCTCTCATTTAAAAATAACTTATTATATAAATTTTAAATTTATTCTTAGTTTTTTTTATCAAAATACATACGAATATTTTGATTTGGATTGGGGAACAGGTTGAAATAAATAAATAAAAGCCTTGTAGATATTTTGAACAATGTCCATATTATATTTACCCACATACACACGGCACGTTGTGAACCTTGTCATTTCATTATTTTTTATTATTTTTTAATAATTATATGTACATTGTAGAACGCGTAGTATATAGATATACATGAAAAACCCGAAACACGGATTCCATACAAACAGCTGTAGGCGGGTGCGGCAGCGGGCGCGGCAACGCTGTAATCTCGAATGCATCGAGGTATTTTTTTCATTTCTTTTTTCGTGGGAAAAAGAAGAAGAGCGTGGCAACCGCGCCTGATGCCCGACCGCCTTACGCGAACAACATATTTCTTATGTTACAATCTCTATCTGTACAATCGCAGATTTTTGCAAACTGCCAACGTTTATTATCATAGTGTAAAATCTTGTTCATTAAATTACGTACTTACAATAATAATTTAATTAATATTAAATATCTTAATGTAAAAGTTAAAAGCATCCACAGAAGGAATATGGTTATTGCTCATTTATTGCAAGAAGCCTTTCAGACGGCCTTAATACAATGACTTAACACTGAGGACGGCCGCCTCGTCTACCGGACTCGAGTCCTATTGCGTTTGAAACGCCGGGGCTCGAGCCAGGCGAGTTTGGCGCCCGTCAGCGGATGGGTCTGCAACACAAGGACACACTGGGGAGGGGAAAAGTGCCGTAATGTTATACAGTGGCGGCACAACAACCACTTGCTACTGCTTAAATTAGAGTATATATATGTATATCATAATATCAATATATACAGCATGTATACACTTAATAAAGTAATCCTAAAAGTACGTATGAAAGTAATACAACAACAAAGGAAAGGATCAGGGGCGTACCAATTGTATTTTTTTTTTGGTTTGTTTTTGGTTTTCTTGTTTAAGCTACCCGCACCCCTTTGAATTTAATTAACCATGTTTTTTTAAAAATATACGTACGCTTGCAAGTCGAAATTAAAAAGAAAGAGAATCAAAAAATTTGGACAGCACATTTTAATTTTCAGTGTATAAGTAAGGCCCACGAACAGTTTTTTAAAATATTTTTAACATACAACTGAAAATTTCACATGAGTGAGTTTATATTGTCGAGTAAATATTCCCATTTGGAAAAAAATACATTTTCACGAACGACTATGAACCCTTATATTTATTTATAAAACCTCTACGGGACGCAAAACACACCAAAAGCCAAAGTTTACCAAATATATAATGAAAAATCATCCTGCATTTTATCCAAACATTTATTTTATATTGATCAATTTTAGCCCACTATACATGAAATTTTGACTTTTTCAAGAGATGATTTTTGAAACCATATTAAGTACAAATATTTATAAAATTATAAAAGTTTCACCAACAATAATAAAAACAACAAATTAGAGAAATATAATAGCACCACGCCTCCTTAAATATTTTAGCTTTTGGCGTGTTTTATTCATATTTTCAGAATCAAGTAGCCGAGCAGTTCGCGACCAAGCATTGATATGTTATATATGCTGTAGCTAACATCGCGAACCTATGAGATCCGATTCAGTAAAATTCCAAAGAATATTTTTATGGGGATTTTAACAAAACGGACTTAGCTGCCTTTTTGAAGCTTCGGCAAAAGTCTAAATCAGCCACTCGCGACCTTGTTCCATTGCTACAGAGAAACGAAATTAGGCCTTTTTTGGTATCAGCTGTTAAGTTTTAAGGTTTTAAAACCCTTCTTATTATGATATTAAAAATAAAACTAAAAACTAACTAGAATTGAATAAATTCGCGAGTGGTTGTGTTGAGACCTTAAAACTGTCTTTTTTCTAAAACTTACTTTAATTACTTAATAACACAGCTTACATATATCAAAATATATAAACGAAACATATTTATATTTTGTTTTTTACTACCTACATATACCGTATTGCTCTGGATTGACATTTTATAAATACTTTCGGCTTTTACAAAAAAAAACGAAACAAAATAATTCAAATAAATCAACAAAATGAAAACAGTAACGTCGTATTGACATCAATATTGACATAATATACCTTTGGTCAAATCTCACCAAAAAAGACGGACTTTTTTTTAATAATCGCGCCTTTACCTAAACTTTACCAATCGCCAAACAAAAACAACTCGAATCTATTAATTGACATTTTTTTAAATCTGTTAACAAGTTAATTAACTTCTTACATCTCTTACACAAGCATAAACTGTTGTCATCGTATTAGCCATGGGAACCAATTGAATTTGAGTGTGTGTGAGCATCACCAAAACAAAATAGTGCTGTTTTTGTCTGTCAATTTGTGACCTTCGCGTACCTCTTAGGAGGCTTCTTTATTTTTTAGTTATCGAAACGAAAATATTAAATAAATAAACCGCGTTTCACGGAAACGTGTTCTACCCGCTACAATTAAAAATAACTACCGTCAATTGTCCACGCTAAAGGCCGGCACACACGAGCCGCGCCGCGCTATACGTGTAGAAAAGTTCGTTGTAAGTTCCAACTAGATCTTTCACAGAAAGAGAGAATTCTCTAATTTAATAAAAAGCTATGACACCGAAATTCGCTATTTAAATTTTTTGCATTATAGTCGTTGTAAGTCTGTCACTAACCGAAAACAAAACTAACTTACCGAGATGGCTGTGGCGCGTGTGTGTCGAGCTTTAGGCTCGAATTTTTCCCAAAAATTGATTCTTACATTTGTACTGATGAGAGACAAGCTTTTTTGTAGTCGCAGTATAGGACCAACATTTAATTATTTAACAAGCCTAGTGGCGAAAATGTACAACTTAAAACGATAATAAAAAAATAACACACCATATAACTCACGAGGAGAATGGGAGCCAAGACCGCGCCCTCCATCGGCCGAACAGGCAAATTAACTATTGAGTCATTATAATGTATACAACGACAATCACAAACAATTTTTAATAATTTTTCTCGCCGAAACAGCACCTGATTTTCTTAAATTTTCTATCTACCGTTCAGTCGCTTTGGAAGCTTCGACTTCAATGGGATGACCCAGAGGAATTGAAGCTTGTCTTGTCTTTGCGTCATTTTTAAAGTGGGTGGTGTTTCGGCGAGGGCCGGAAGCGCCATCTTGGCTCTCTTTATATAGAATATTCACAAATGTAACAGGAAACATTTATATAATATATACTTTTTAAGTTTGATCTTGTCTAATGCTAACAATTCGACAGATCTAAAAGTTGAAGTAGATTATTAAGAAGGAGGAGAGACAGGATGGGGACACTATAAGCTAAGATACAGATCATAGAGTGGAATAGAAAAACTGAGTTTTAAGAGACAGTTAATTAGGGGGTAGTTCGTTATTCAGCTATACAATTTTACAATACAAAAAGAGATTTCTTCTTATTCTTCTTCTTCTTCTATTATTCGCCTACTCTATATATGTAACACTCACATATAGAAACATTTACAAAAATTTCGAGATTATTATTATTAAATATTATTATTATTATTATTGTGTGGTTTGTTTGTTTAAGCATACACGATTAAAGCATTTTATGTGTTCTATGTTTTTCTATACCACCAATGGATTAACAATAATAAATATATACAAACTCCTAAATTATACATAATTTTACGCGCAAACAAAACTTATCGTTAATTTGTATCCATTTTGTTCTCATATAAATAATTGTACATGCGAAACCAACCCAACAAGATCTAAAATTACAACCAACATTTATCTTTCACGATTTTTCAATAATTTTTCATCCCCACCAATTTTAAACCTCTGTTAAGTTGGCTTCATATCTCTCAGCCCAACAAAGTTCAAGATCAAGATCTTGAATGTTGTCGTTCTGGATAAAATAAAACATTATATTAACTATTAAAAAATTAACGAAACAAAACTAAAGTAAATATAATAATAATATACCAAGGCAATGCGCCAAATGTTATATAATTGTCGCATTGAGCCTTTTGGTCCATAATCATAATTAATGTTAATATTTGAGGATAATGTATCCAATTTTAAAGATACCCTGTAATATATCATATGTAATTAACGCAAGACATAACCAATAGTGCCTATGTTTGGTGATTTCTTATTTACTTATTTAATTATTATTTGCAGAAAGTATTTATTTTAATGAAGGCCTACGACTAAAACAACTTTTTTCTACTTAAAACTGACCTCATAAGTCTTTGATAGTTTCGTTTTTTTGTGATAAAAAACGCAAACAATTGAATCAAGTGTTTTTCTAACAAAAACAAATGATCTAATACTTGGTTTATAAAAATAATATAATTTTTTATTATAGGAATCTTTCATCTTTGGCAAAAGAGTTAGTTAGATGACTCTTTAATTTAACTAAGGATTAATTTATCTTGTAAAAAACTAACGTATAAAATTTGTATGTAATCTATTAGTGGTGTTATGTTTTGGTGATGTATAATACAATAAGAAAAACAGTAAAAATCAAAAATATTTTTGTTCTGAAGAAGAGTTCACATTAGTTTTAGAAGAAATTGATAGTTTTGTTAATTATCGTTAGTCTTCCATAAAAATGTTTTTGATTTTTGATATTCTCCTAATAGAAGAATCAAGATTAAACTATCTAAATTTCTACGGTGAATAATTGAATAAAGTGCTTTGGTTTTTAGCAAGTAAAAATTTTCGCGTATCGGCGGCCTCCATTAAAAGTTAAAAAATGTATGTAGATAAGCGAGTCGAGGACACCAAACAGTACAACAAGTGTGTGTTGCCGCACAAGGGCGCGGCGCTTTAGGGGTGCTACATTACATTTTATTAATATTTCATATTCATTATTATTATTATTAGTTTAGGTAATAATAATTATTATTATACATATAGTAAATGTACAAGGTGCTGTTTTTGTTGGTATGCATGAGCCCGAACCTCGGAGCTAAGTGGACGTACGCCTCTGACTCAGTGGTAGCCGTTGGTAAAGGCTGCCGGGATCAATGGGCCCTGCAAAACACCCCCCACGTTTATAAATCCACTTAATAAGAAAGCCTATTAACTTTTCAACCTAATGTTGCTTTAGTTTAGAGTTTTAGAGGGAAATCCAAGTAAGAGAGCTATTCGCTTACCCTGTTTAGTTGGCCAGGAAATACTGCTAGAATAAATAGAAATAGAAATTAATTATTTGATTGAGGTTGAAAAGTTAATACATAATTTACTCTTTACTCCAAAACCTCACATGCACATAGCCAGGCTATGCTAGCCTAAATCTCATGTACCAAGGTTATTCCGCCCGAGATAAAAAAAACTTTAAACTTGACGAATCTTCAATTTAACACCCTGTATATTGTAACAAAAATTAATAGATATTTTCCCTTAATTAAAAAATATGTAATAGAATATGATGTTTGGTTTAGCTTTTTAAAATATTTGCATATTTGCGCTGTCTAAATATACGGAATAACCTTGTACAATGTACATTGTACAACTAGGAGCTTATGCATCCTATCCAGCTAAACAATGGTTATTATTACATCATTATTATTATTAGTTTGCTCCGCCATGCTTTTGAAAAACCAACCTAAATTATTAAATCAATAAATTAGAACAACAAAAATTATTTTGTAGGTTTTTAATTGCACAGGAGAGTCAAATTACTAAATTAAATTGAACCTTCACCTTGCCAGAGTTTTTTTTTTAAGTGCGTTCCACCAACTTCAAATACCGACAGAAAGCTGTTTTGACTCATATTGGGTCTCATCAGTGTCGGGCAACTTGGCGTAGTGTAACACAAAAAAACGACTACCTGAGCTTATATACTGCCCAAGTAAGCCAACAGAGGCGAGATGTAAGAACATCACGTGATCAACGCCGTCTAAAGACGTAGCCCTTTCCGGTTTAATTTCTCTTGAATAATACCAGTAGTGGAAAATTGAATGTTTACTGTACATCAACAAATTTACTTCTGATTTAAAGTTTTTAATAAAATTTTAATTGCTTGTAAAAAAGTTGAAAGAAACCAAGTATACAAACTTGTATAAATAGTAATTTTTCTGAGTCGTGTAGAATCAAAACCGGACATAAGTAAGCCTTCTCTCTTAAAATAAAATAGTCAAAATTCTACAATTTGAATTAGTACCACCATTTTTTATTAATAAAATAGTCGTTTTCACTTTTAAATGGTCATTTTTTACAACTTAAGTAGTGGAAGTTTAACTAATTTAAGGTAAGTCAAATATGGTTACACATCGCTTCTAAAGATGCCAATATTGTATATAGTATTTAATCTACTAATTTGACTATTTCATTCAGTAGAATTTGTAAGAAAAAATTTAACCTACACCTCGCCAAAGTTTTTTGTGCGTTTCACCAACTTCAAATACCGACAGACAGCTGTTTCGACCTGTATTGGGTCTCATCAGTGTCGGGCAACTTGGTGTAGTGGAACACACCCAAAAAAAGGACACCCTGAGTAGGGTGATTCAAAAAAAGCCTTTTTTTAAAAATGAACCCGCACTGGCCTAAATTATAAAGATTACATTAAAACTAAAAGATTGATACCAAAAAATCCAAATTCGATGAATATTTAGAGGTCGCTCAAATCCATTTTCGTATTTTTGCACATTCGAGCCGCGAAATTATTACTGCGCAAAATAGTAAATAACTCCGTTAGTTTTTAATCGATGTTATTAAAAAATTAAGGGTTACCTAGTTTTTTAATACCCTCTGAGACAGTGTATTGAACTTTCCGGAAAATTTTTTTTTTTTCATGAAAAAAAAATAATTTGTTAATAAAAACGTATCATCTTATAAAATAAGCAACAATTGGAATCGCACTATGATGGTACCGTAAAAAAACTAAGAAAATAACACTTAAATTATTTAGCATACATAAAACCTGCCGAAAGAAATATTTTATTTGATTTATATAAAACATAACCTAAAAATAATTAAGTTATTCAAATTTTTCCCATTTTCATACTATTTTATAAATAATTTATATCCGTTTTATTAATTATGACGTTTTTTTTATAAAATTTCTTTATTTTTGATACCATATTTAATTAATTACACTAAGTAGTTATTAATTTATGTCCTTTTTATAATTAAAATTAAAAAAATCCACTGCCCTACATCTTTTTCTTTGCAATGATTGTTTCAAATGTTAATTTATCAACCATTTTTTCTTTTGTTTCAGTAGGTACTCTTTTATTAAAAAATGCCAAACAAATTAGCTCTTCTATTTGCAATTCTTTATTTTTGTAAACATGAAGTTCATGAAGTGTTTTCAAATAATTTTTGGGCGCGCAAGTTGCATTTGGAGCTTGCAACCAGGCAAATATTTAAACCGAAATAATAAAAATACAAATTCTACGCAATTACTTATTTTCAGTGTTAGTGAGTTTAAATTAATCCCGAAATAAGAAAATCTTTAGAGAGTATATAGCTTTGTTCATCCATCGGGCATGCTATCTATCTCCACCAAGGTATAAGATGTTTTTCTTTAATTTCTCAACAAATTAGTTTTGGTACTTAGACGCTTTATATATATATATATATATATATATATATATATATATATATATATATATATACATCCCGCTTACAATGCTGCATCATTTCAAAGTACCGTCATTATAGCGTCTACCAGAAATACTGCAGTATATCGTGATTTAACATTGCAGAAGTGTTAATTAGACAAAATAATGACCGAATTTAACGTTAAATGTTTATAAACCCTTTTTTAAACTAAAAATTCATGTTACTATCATTGCTGCTTCTTTTTATTTTGCCATCATTTCTGCGTCGATGTATATCGAATTTGTTAAACCATCATTGCTGCAACAAAAGTGAATATTTTTTTCAACTCCCCCGTCTTTTCTGCGTCACCCATGTTGCCAGATCTTGTCGACGCATCATTGATGGTTTTTCGTACTAGGATTTGAATATTAAATTTATTAAAATAAATATTTAAAATCATAATTCCCAATAATTTCGTTGTGCGTTGTGACTTGTTTTTAGCGCATATACTCGTATATCAACGCTCACAAATAAAAGGCAAAAGTTCTTTAGAAATAAAATGATAAATTTGTTATGTATAATTTGTTGTCATTCAATAGTTTAAGGTAGTCTGGATAAATTAAATTTTTTAGCTTTAAAGGATGTGCAGAAAAAATTCGTACGGGATTAATTTTTGATATGTTAAATTAACATACAAAATTTATGCCACTGACATTTTTAATTTTTGATAGCACAATAACATAATACAATTATGATAATTGTAGACAATAAGGTTCCTTATTGATATTTTTGTTATTAAATATTTTATTAGATTTAGCTAAGAAATTAATTAATATTTCCAAATAAGCCTTAGATATTCGCAGGACCGTTTCTAACGTTTTCTCCGTCGGGGTGGGTAATAAAATTTGCCGCTCTAATGTTGGTATAATATAAATTGTTTATAATATAATATATATTTATACGCCTCCTTAGATTAGGAGCACTTTTTTAATTACAATTTATTACAATTTATAATATATTCACGGACCAAAGCATTTTTTAAATTGTAATTAAAAAAGTGCTCCTAATCTAAGGAGGCGTTTTTACCAAAACCTTAAATAAAAAAGGGATTATTTTAAAGGATTTTTAAATCTTTATTTAACTACGTCTTAGAATAAGTCAAAACGGTTTAAACTTTTCAATTTTAGTTTTTTATCAATATTAATCAATTTAGGAGTGACAAATATTTATAATTTAAATTTGTTTAAACTTTTTGCCTTTTTAAAATATAAAGGGCCAAATTGTATGTAAAAAACTAAGGATGGTGTTTTTTTTAATATTTTGAAAACGTCACATTTTTGTCCTAGGACAGCCGTTTACTTTCCGTCCTGAAATGTAATCAGCTGTTTACTTTCGAGTTTGAATAATATCATTATTATTATTGTAGCTGTTATCACATATCGTCCCAATTATCGCATGGTAGCGTATCTTTAATTTAACAATTTTACAGAGCATTTTAAAGATTGAAAGTTTTTAGCTAATTTAGAATATTTTTTGGAAAAAAAATATCGAAAAATATGCTATATCTATATCTTTTTTTACCTGTGCGCGGAAAGTTTCTACAAAAGTCAGTGTCAATTAATTTTTAAGAAAATAATGAACCACCGTGTAATCGTCATAGTAATGATAAATCCTAGTAGGATTATACTACCGCGGTATACTGTGGAGAAAGAGTTTAATTTTCTCCACAGTTTAAGACTGAGCCACTTTCTTAATTGAAAAAGTATAGGAAATGTACAAATTCTTTAATATGATTAGAAAAATATATTTACAGAGCATGACTCAAAAAGTATGTGGAATCCAAAAATGCAAATAAAAGGGATATTTTTATTTAAAATAAGAAAGTTGGAACCGTCCCAGAGAAAACCAAATATCCATAAGTAAAAATATTATTTAAAAAAAATTGTATTAGTTCATTAGTATTTAGTCATTTCTTTTGACAAAAACAACAAATTATATCAACCTGCAAAGTTACAAAAGTCCACAGCCCACTTCTAAGTTTGACAGGTCAAACTTAAAAGACAGCTCACAGAATAACACAAAACCACGTTTTTTTGAGTAAGAAGTTAGGTTATTGTGTTAATCATTTTACATTCTCATTAACAGTCATGATTTCAACCAAAATACCAATCACGTAATTTACCTACTACATTTACTACACAATAATTTACTATAGTAAATGTAGTATGTAGTAAATCGCAGAACATATATGTTCTGCGATTTACTACATACTACATTTACTACATAGTCAATGTATAAAATGTAATAAACCCAATTTTTACGTCAGTTTACCATCCCTGGGCTGGAGGCCTTACAAACGGGACAAATATTACTATTTTTACTCTTTTTTATTCTTAAAGTTATAGATATAATTATTAAAAGGAACTTGGCAATAATAATTTTATAAAACAAACTGGCTACTAAACACTTATACTAAAATTCACATTAACACATGCGACGCAGCATTGCTGCGTTCGTTTAACGATCTTCGTTATTTATGCGTCGAATAATATTAAGTACATTGTATCGACGTTGCTGCGTCGTACATTGTTGTCAGCTTCACTTGATGCAGGATTATCGTAAGTTTAAAAGAAATATTCACTTTTTCAATATACACCAAATTTAAAAGCGCACCCTTGCGGCAAACTGCCAAACTTCAATATACACGTATTTTACAAAAAACCATCAATGCTGCGTCACCCTTAAAAACGGTGTGTGGGATTGTCATGACGTCACCAGTAAAATAAACCTTAAATGTAATGCTGCGTCAATATACGACGCAGCATTACACCTGACGCAGCATTGAATGCAAATTTCATAATGTATTGACGCAGCATTGTAGGCGGGATGTATATATATATATATATAAAATTTATCAGTTACCTGGTAGTAGGTCCTACTATCAAAATTTAAGAATAATAATTATTATAGTGGTATGTCAATTTAGCAACATCTGGACAGAATCAAATAATTTTGGTATCAAAATTTAAGAATTGTTGTATGTCAATAATTTTAATAAAATTTAAATTTCTGCTTAAGCCATATCAATGCAGTGAATAATTTTGTAGTTATTTTATTTTAGTTGTAAAAAGGACCTAATTTAATAACTACCTAGTTTAATTAATTAAATATGGTATCAAAAATAAAGAAATATTATAAAAATACGTCATAATTAATAAAACGGATATAAATTATTTATAAAATCGTTTGAAAATGGGTAAAATCTAAATTACTTAATTATTTTAGGTTATATTTTATATAAATCAAATAAAATATTTCTTTCGGCAGGTTTAATGTATACTAAATAATGTAAGTGTTATTTTCTTGATTTTTTTATGGTACCATCATAGTGCGATTTCAATTGTTGCCTATTTTATAAGATGATACGTTTTTATTAACAAATTATTTTTTTTCATGAAAAAAAAAAATTTTTCCGTAAAGTTCAATACACTGTCTCAGAGGGTATTAAAAAACTAGGTAACCCTTAAATTTTTAATAACATTGATTAAAAACTAACGGAGTTATTTACTATTTTGCGCAGTAATAATTTCGCGGCTCGAATGTGCAAAAATACGAAAATCGATTTGAGCGACCTCTAAATATTCATCGAATTTGGATTTTTTGGTATCAATCTTTTAGTTTTAATGTAATCTTTATAATTTAGGCTAGTGCGGGTTCATTTTTAAAAAAAGGCTTTTTTTGAATCACCCTAACCCTGAGCTTATAATGCTCTGTTGGTAAGCCAACAGAGGCGAGATGTAAGAACATCAGGTGATCCTCACCGTCTAAAGACGTGGCCTTAGTGGATATTAGTATCAGTGATACAGCAAACTGTATCACTGATACTAATATGGCCTAAAGGAATCTAGAATTAGCACAACCGGGCTAAACATTAAGGTAAACATTCAATTTTCTTAGTTTCTTTAAGAAACTTTCTTGACCCATTACTGGTAATATTTATAAGAAAAAATTGAACCTACACCTAGTAGAATTGAGGAGCATCCGTGCAAAACCGGCAATATCCACTTTAATAAAATGTTGGGAAAATTCGGTTTCCTGGCCTTTACAGATAAAAGAAAAAGCAAAGTTGAGTTTTGTGGGCTTTGTGGTACTTGATTTATAAGACATACTTTCGTTTTCAAAAACTTTATATTAAGGCCAAAATTTCAAAAAATGTTTTGGATATAGCCGGTTTTGCTCGAAAACCGAATAAAAAACGAATAACATGTGAAAAAAAACCTTAATTATTCAAAAATATTAACAAAATAAATTAAGTGCAAACATGAAAAAACAGAACAAATTTTAGTAGTAGTATCGACATATCCAAGCCACATATTATTATTTATTGGGTATAGCCGGGTTTGCTATAAAAACGTGGATTTGGCCGGTTTTGCTCCTAAAGCTACCTTTTAAATGTGATTTTAACATGGATATAGTCGGATTTAAACAGAATTATCTTGGTTGTCGATAGAAATGAACCCAAAGATGCGAAATAAAAAAAAAACGGAATAAAATGGATTTGCACGGATGCTCCTCAATTATTAGTGACTGCTTTTTAGCTATAACAATTAGTCAAATATTACTTTTAATTAGACAAATTTGACTAATCCATTTTAAGAAAGTTTAAAAGAATGATATGAATGGGTGACCATGACATAACATTTTAAGTTTCTCTGAAATTACATATACCGTACCTTCGTTTGCAAGCTATACATAGGGAAAATACATTATAGGTGGATACAAAGTAGGGGTGGACCAGTCAGCGCAAAGCGAAAAAGTTCTCAGAAATTATTAGGAGGTAATAAAATTTTAATCGCCAGTAAACAAGATCACCTGTTACGTCGCATGTTAGTCTACTCATCCACTCGTCAAAATAATTTCTGGGAACATTTTCGTTTCGCGCTGACCGGCGCGGCGCGACTTCGACTTGTCTGTTCCACCTACAATGTATTTTCCCTATGTATAGCTTGCAAATGAAGGTACGGTATTATGCTTTGGTCTAATCAAATGTGTCGGTCCTCATTCTGTTAAATATATTATTTACTTAGGACTTACTGGTGTTGGAAGAGTATGGTTATGAGAAGAAGAGTTTCGGAAGGTTACTTACGGGGCTGTAGTTTAGGGGAGCCCTGCTGACGGCGATGGCCGGGAACGAGGAGGGCTGTGGACTGGCGGCCTGCACGTAGCCGACGCTGTCCGCCGCCGAGCTGTTGTACATGTCGATGGTGGGCCCGGGCGAGTTGGCGGCCGGAAAGCCGCCGCGCGTGTTGGCGGCGTGCGGCGAGGCCGGCGGCCCGAAGCCTTGCGCTGCTGCCTGGTAGTTGTTCATCACTGCAAAGGAAACCGAGAAGTGGGGTTGTGGAGTTGACTGGTCGGCTCCGGAATGCTGCTGCGTCCAATTGCCTCCGGTCGACCCTGCTTCACAACAACATAACACTCCTGGAGCCGACCAATGCCTCTTTTTTTTTACGTCTTACGTCTTACGTTATAGTTTAAGTAACATTCTTACTAAATACCCGGCCGTATTCTGGTTACGGTATTTCTTCACTTTTTACGACGACGCTAACATTCTCCCTAATCGCTACAATCTACACCTAACATCCCTACGTTTGCATACCTTTAAATAGTTAATCCCATTGCACAAATGTAAGTGAGATCTATGGTTTTACACAAAGTAACAGCTTTGAGTTTTGATCACTATAATACAAAGATGGCGCTCTACAATGTTTTAGACGTTCCTTAGTAACTGATTGTGGTTATCGAGTAAAGCAGGAGGTTTTGATAATTCAAGTCTACTCACAGGCAAAATAATCGATCCACACAAATTTTCGATGAATTTCAATCGCAAATAACTTTTTTATTTGATGTCGGATTTAAACGAATATTAAATAATATTGTAGATAAATTAATGGACAATCACTCACATTTTAAAAAATTACTAAAAAATAGACGTACGTTTATAATATACAGGTTTAAACAAAAAGATGTTTTTTACCATAAGTTTAAGACACTTTGTAGAGTGGCTGAACCGTGTTCTAAATTAAGTTTTAATTATCAAGTCACATCTATTCTTAACAGTTTTGTTTTTGGTTCACCTCGATATATTTATTTTTGTGGAAAATATGGATTTTTAAAAAAAACATTGCAATTTCCAATATTTTTTCTGTATGAAGAACTAAGGTTGCTATGGTCCATCCATAGGCTTTGGAGGATGACAGTGACAGTTTTCTTGAATCATCCCATACTTGGACATGTCATACAAGGCTTACAAAGCTACCAAATTGTTTTTTGCAAATTAATGTTTAAAATTTGAGGTGTCTTCTTAATTCTAAAAATAAATATGTCTTCGACTGATGTTGCCAGAGTCATGTATTTAATTCAGAATGGACGGTCACAGTATTACGTGGCAAGTGTTTTAAACATCACAAGAAGTAAAGTACAAAGGGCAACATCAGTCGGAGACATTTTTAAAAGTAAGAAGGCACTCAAAATTAACACATTAATTTACAAAAAACAATTTGATAGCTTTTGAAAGCCGTGTATGACATATGGGATGATTCAAGAAAACTGTCACTGTCATCCTCCATAGCCTATGGATGGACCATAGCAACCTTAGTTCTTCATACAGAAAAAATATTGGAAATTGCAATGTTTTTTTTTTTAAATTCATATTTTCCACAAAAATAAATATATCGAGGTGAACCAAAAACAAAACTGTTAAGAATAGATGTGACTTGATAATTAAAACTTAATTTAGAACAATATATATAATATAAACGTACGTCTATTTTTAGTAATTTTTAAAATGCGAGCGATTCTCCATTAATGTATCTACAATATTCTTTAAAATTTGTTTAAATCCAAAATCAAATAAAAAAGTTATTTGAGATTGAAATTTATCGAAAATTTGTGTGGATCGATTATTTTGCCTGTGAGTGTACTTTGTTTTAAATATGAGTTAAATTATAAAGTACAAATATTAGAGATATTCCCCAACACCAAAACAAAACTCAGTTACATTTCGCTTCTGAAGATGCGAACATCATTGGAGAAAAGTACTTTAAGCACTTTGTGTTTTGTTTAAGTGTTGAGGAATATTTCTAATATTTGTTTAACATTTCACCAAAGTTGTCCTTTTTTAAGTATAAGGTACTTGATTAGAAGACCAATTTTTCGTTAACTCTTGACTCGATTGCTTCAATCAAGCTTCTGAAAGACGCAATCTAAGGTTTTTGCTGTTAAAAAGTGTATTATTAGTGTCTAGGTCATTATAACGACATCTGTTTTAGGTCGAGATATTCCAAACTCCAAAGCTTTTACTTAAATTTGGAAAAATAACCCCTATAAATATTAGTTCTGGTGATTTTGGGATTAACCAAGTAAAACGTATATTCGCTCTAAAATAAAACATTCCAACATCAACAAATCAGCTTATTACCTATTACAACCTTTTGCACATCTAAAAAAAATAGATTACCCACATCAAAAATGCCCTTTTAACTAATATTTCAATTTTACGTTTTTTAAAAGCGGCGTACATAAGCTTCGCTTATTGATTTAACTTCGACTGATTAAATGCTCAGCAGTTCCACGAACGAGGCAAAAAAGCCCGGTAATGCATTAGATAAAGTGATTACTCAACTGAATTAAAAAGGATCGTTTTAAATTAGATGAAATATGACCTTTTTCCTTTCAGAAACCCATAAATAACCGAACCGGCGATCTGCTAGTCATTCATCATGAAAATTAAGTTACATAATCTGTAGCATATAGCAAAAACGGCATCAGGACAAATGTGTGCTGCAAGAAGCCAATGTTTAAGTGATTTGTGGATCAATGTTTTCTCTAATTTCTACGAACGTTAGATGAATTGAATTTAGTTTAAAGTTATCCTATCGTTTTCTATTATCTAAAACTAACACATAAGACTCGCACTCTCTTTGCACACAAGCTCACAGACACTGGGTAAAAGTAATAGAATAATTACCTGACAAGGCCTGGGTCAACAGTGGGGTATTGTTATTGGGGGTCAGTTGGCCATTAGTTAGATCGACTAAAAACAGAGACACAGAATTAACATTTTAACAGGTTTCCACTTGGTATGTATTCGTGTATGGGAGACTGTTAGTCTGTATTAAACTTTCAATCAGTTTTCTTAAAAAAATCTTGTGTGAAGAACCTTATTACTTAGTCTAAATTAAACTTACTTCTACAGGAAGAATATAATAGATTGTAAAAGGAGCACTAGCATAAATTTGGAAGAAACTAGCTAACATACAGGTCTTTCTATGAAAAAATTAACTAACTACCCGGCAAACGATTTTAAAATAAATTTAAAATGATTTGGCGGAGAAGCTAACTTAGCTCTAACAATAAAATACGCTTAGGTATGTAAAAAGTATTTCATAAAGTGTGCAGGTAATCCCATGGATATTCTATCTTATCGTTTAAAATTTTCCTTGTAGAAATAAATTCAATTAGGGCATTTGTCGGAAAAATCCTCCGTTAAGGGAAAGTTTTAAAGAAATTAAAGTTTTCCGATAAAAATGCAAAGCTCAATTCCAATTCGTGAGTATCCAGTGTGTGGCCGAACTTTTTTGATATTTTGATGGATGACAAACGGATACTGGCAAAGTTTTTCTCGAACGATTTTTCTCCGTTTTTCAATACATCATCGGACACACAATTTAACATTCCTCGAGCGAAGAAAAGACAGTAATAAGTTAACATGACATTTTTTCGTAAAAAATTTTAACTTTAAAGATGAAAAGAAAACTGATCAAAACGTGTGTTTTTCTTGTCAAGTGTTAATATCTAAAAGTTATAAAAACGCACAATAATAATATTCTATTATCTTGACTATTATTCTAATTTAAGTAAAAAATAAAATTTCGGCAATTTTGAGTCGTTTTACTAATAAAACACCGACTAATATACCACACTGCCAATTGTGAAAATCTAACATTTTCAGCGTTAATAATAATGTTAATAAAGTACTAATCTATAGAATCTACTCTATACGTTGTCTATGCTATGTTAATACAATTTTATGGTTTATCTAAAAAAGCAAACGTATTATGTTAAAATACGTTTACCAAACATTTTGTTAATAATCTAAGCCAAATATAGAAAAGAAAATTTTAATTTTACTACTATAACTGCTTTTTACTACTTGACTAGAGAAACAATCTATCAAAATATAGGGTGTCCCAAAATTGGCCTAAAGGGTCTTGAAAGTCCAAGACAAATTTCCCATGTTTTCGAATTCTCAAAAGCGAAGGAGTTATTTAATTTTAAAAGCCACCCATGAGAGCGCAGTCCTTGTGTTCTCGTCCTATAGAGCAGAAACACTGCGTTCTCATTGGCAACCTTAAACATTAAATAACTCTTCAAAAAAATGATAAGGGAAAATTTTTCTTGTAGTTTTAACTTTACCCTTTGAGACGACAGTTTTGGGACACGCTGTATATGTTGAGATGAAACAATAATTATAATAATCATAATAATAATAATAATGTTTTGATAGAATCTTTCTTACAAAACTATGGTAAAACACGAAAAATTATCTCTGTAAGTAATCTAAGTCACAAATTCTTAATCACATGACTTCTATATATCGACTGTTCTAATTATTAGTAGGATTACTCGCCCATTAGAGATGCAAAGTTCCAAGTCCTTTTTGGTAGTTCACACACTGATTTAACACCTTTATTTGTAAGACCTTTTTTGCTATTTTTATCTATGTGTTAGAAGTTTTTGTTTGATTGGTTGGTTGATGGGATAGAAAAAAGTGTGGGAAGGGCGGAGTTCGCTTTTGAATGTAGATTAATTGCTTTTTAAAAGGAATATTTAAACAAGTCGTAATTTAGAAATTCTGTCATAGTCAGCAGTTAGCGAAAATTGAACGTAATGTGATAAATTACACTTGTCAGTTTGAGCTGTCTAAATTACAAGGGAATTGGTACGTATGTACGAGTAAAATATCAAAAATTAATTAACCGATTTTGGGGGTGGGTAAACGTACATATGCCTCGTTCTGGAACATTTGTTCCACTGCGGGAATTATAAATGCGTAATTAAAATTTCGAAACGACGTAAACTGATCGTCTCGATTAATAAGATGCCCGTAATGTTCTCTAATTTCCTTCTAATGAATAATTGGGGGCCCACGTTTCTACAAATCCAACAATTTACGACTCGCGTCTCATTATTATTTCGTTTCGCGACGATATTCCTTCCACGTTGCCTAATTGTATTTGAATTATTTTTGCCATCCGTCAGTTTACGAAATCGGAATGTAGCCGCAAATCGCGGTTATTAATGCTCTTAATTTGTCTTCTGCAAGAAGACTAAATAAGGAGTAACTCTCGATGCTTTACAAAGAGTTTATAAGAGATATAAGACTAAAAAAGTTCAGAATAATAATGGACTTGGTTATGGAAAGTACACTCTCTAAAAATGAATTGGTCAAAAATGACTAATATGACATATGGAAAAAGCAGCCACTAGTAATTCTCGTCAACAGCAATTTTTGTCCCGGATATTTAGCAGTCAATTCCCGCTGAATCCAAGAATGTCGTCAAATATATAAGTATAACAGTTTTTGAGATATATTCAATTTTCCATATAAAATATTGGCAAAAACTTGTCTACTGCAAGAAGACTAAATGATGATGATGCTTTGTGAAGAGTATCTAGCAAAGAAGGAAAACTTTCTGAAGATATTAGACAAAAAAAAATCATAATAATTATGTATTGGGTTATGGAAAGAACAGAAGATCAGATAACTGCAATCTGATGGAAAGTCTTTAAAAGTTGGAAGATCTTGAATTATTGGCGACCAAACAAAATCATGTGCAAGGAAAAACTACAAGGCTAGAAATAAATGCACAGAAAGATCTGAAAATTAAAACCAGGAAGACAAAACTGCTAACAAATAACGCCATAGGCGAAGTAAAGGAGTTTTGTTACTATGAAAGTATATTTAGTTTGAAAGGTGGAACGGAAAAGGTTATAGAAAGAAGACACAGAACTCTTTAAAAATGCTAATAACATATGCCCATCATCAATTCTAGCTAGATTGATTTAGATCAAATGTAAAAAGCATTCCAATGTATGGTGCTCTCTTTAATGAATTAGTCAAAAATGACTTATTGTCATATCGAAAAAGCAGCCACTATTAGCTGTAATCTCTAAAAATGAATTAGTAAAAAATGACTAGTTACTACAGTTATTGGTGGCTGCTTTTTCACTTATACCATGATATAACATTTAACAGCCATTTATTATGTAAAATTGTCTCCCGAATCCGATAATACAGTCAAAAATTTTGAAGTAAAGCAGTTTTTGATATATATAGATTATATGGAAAAATGAATATATCTCAAAAACTGTTCTACTTTTCTAACTTTTGACGACATTTTTGGATTTAGTGGACAACTTTACATGGAAATTGACTGCTAAATGTTCGGGATACAAATTGCTATTGACGAGAGGTCATTTTTGACTTTTTTTTAGAGTTTTTTTAGAGAGTAGTCCACTCTCTAAAAATGAATTAGTCAAAAATGACTAATTTAATAGTTATTAGTGGCTGCTTTTTCACTTTTACCATGGTTAACCATGGAATACCATGGTATCCCAAAATTTAACAAAAAATAAAAAAGTAGAACAGTTTTTGAGATATAGTGAATTTTCCATTTATTATGGAATTGGCTATATCTCAAAAACTGCTCCACTTTCATAATTTTTGATGGGGCAATTTTACATAAAAATTGGCTGTTAAATTTTGGGATACCATGGTATTTCATGGTTAACTATGGTACAAGTGAAAAAGCAGCCACTAATAACTATTAAATTAGTCATTTTTGACTAATTCACTTTTAGAGAGCTCATCAATTTATCTCGAACATTTAGCATTCAATTTTTATGTAAAATTGTCCACTGAATCAAAAAATGTGAAATATTATAAAAGTAAAACTTTTTTGAGATATAGTTAATTTCCAATATAATATGGAATTGACTATATCTTAAAAACTGTTCTACTTTTATAACTTTTGACGGTAATTTTATAAAGGAATTTACTGTTAAATGTCCTGGATACAAATTGATGTGAACTACAGTTATTAGTGGCTGTTTTTTTATTTTTGACTAATTCATTTTAAGAGAGTGCAGAAACAAGCATTTTGCGTAACCTACGGATAGTTTACTACTGAGTACTCCTCCTGTATTTAGTCTTCTTGGTTTTCTGTAATAAATACATTAGCCACCCAGCACGAAATGCTATTTTGACTAATTTTCTAAGAAATATTTAGGTACTATTAAAAAAAATGTTCTTTATTTTTTATCTTTTAAAATATTTTTATTTGTCTTAAAAATGTCTTCATCTAATTTAATGTAGATATTTAGGGTCCTGATTTCTAGGCTCTGTTTAAGTTATTATAACTTGTTTAATATTTTTGTATTTCCCAAGATGTTGTATACCTTTTTTAATTTACAAAAGAAAATAACTGATACTTTAATAAACATTTAAAGTACATTCTACATGTATCGATACAGGAATCGGGTGACTAGCAGCAATAAAAAGTAAATGCATAGCGAGATTGGCATATTCATGAGAATGTCCGATTCTTTCGTATGAAGTTGCTAGTGAAAAACTTATCAACAGTCGTACAGGGTGCGATTTTCTCAGGCTTTAATCTACATCCAGGTGCGAACTCGCAGGAGAGAAAAAGAGAAAACAGTAGCGAAAAAATAACCCCTGAAAATGCATCAAGTTTACGTTTGTACTTTCGAAAGTAATAAAGCCCACCTGCTCGCGACGAACATTTTAATATTGATGAGAGTAACTCGGTATTTTTACAATGTTTTGCCCGTTCGTGTGGCACGAAGGAATTCGCGTTTTTATGCCAATTTCGAGATATTGCGAAATAAACTCGATGTATTTTGTAGAGTTGGTGTGTTATTAGACTACAAAAATGTTAATAAAATTAAAAATGCATTCGTTTTGATAGAGTATACACTTTGTATTTATTCTTTTATTGTTTATACATATTGCTTTGGAAAAAAAGCGACGCCACAATTTTTGTGGCGACTTCAAGCAACAGTCTCGAAACATCGAATACTTAATTATATTATGATTAATTATCATTAGTAATAATAATAATAATAAATTTATGTACACTCGCTCATCCATACATCCACAATATAATAAATAATTTTTGGTTGCATGTATTTTTTGGCATATCGATATTGTTTAATTTTAACGGGTTTATCACACAACACATTCCAGTATAATACACAAATACGCAAATCGAAGCTGCAGCAAAATATTTAAGTAAAGTATTCGACAATAATATTCGATTCATAGATGGTATCGATTTCTGAATGATTAGTACATTTTGGCGTAGCTTCGAGTCCCGGTGGCAAGCTGCTGCAGCTGCAGCCCGTATAATATAATTACATGGCTGCAATGACAAATATTAAATCACAAACAGGCGTGTTTTGCCTTCCCTGTGAAGCCCTAATCGCATTTAGCCCATAGTCAAAGGTAATTGTTGTTAGGGTTACACCTCGTAAAACACTTTAACTCAGCTTCAATCGCTTAAGGAAATAGCACGTGTTTAGCTTTGACTTTTACCAAATACGTTTAGAACACTTTTTAAAATTTTCATATCCATAACGTCAGAACCAACACTGGTCAACTGTTGTATTTTGAACCTCGGTTGCTAAAAGTTTTTATTGTCATACAATTTTTACATTTTTAATAATTCATAAAAAAATTGATTTTTAAATTTGGAAAACTGTTTTTGTGTCAGTGTCAATTTTGATACAAGTTCCATAATCAAATTTAAATTTAAACATTTTTTTTATGTCATAAAGACAAACTCGAAGCTGCACAACCAATAGTCAAAATTCTTGTTGACCAGTGCATTTAATTATGCAAATATTAAGTAAAACTGTACTTTTGAATTTTTTAATACAGTCACTTCGCGATTGGGATAACCTAGTTCGGACATTAACCACCGTCTTTCAAAATATATTGATGAAGAATAATTATGTTACAAGAGTAAAATAAAATTTATCTTTTTTTGGCGATAAAATGTAAACCAACTTGAACCATACCCATGTAAACTTTATTTTATTTATTTCAATTAACAATACGGTCCTTGTTAGTTTTCCCAACAACGATTGGCTTATTGGATGGAGGGCAGGGACGGGCCGGCTCAAATAACTTTTTAGGCATCAAGGTGCTCAAAATTGAAAAACTTTACCAAATTAAAAGTACATCCCGACGCATGTGTAGCTTCTAGGAACCGACAGACTGTTTCGGTCTTTTTTGGACCAGATCAGTACCGGGTAGTTTGCCAAAACACAAGCCACGTCCCTTAGACGGTAGATGGTGTTAATAGCTTTTGTTGTAGCTGTTGTTGTATTTGGGCTACCCGAAACTGCTGAGGTCCGTACAAAAATACCAAACAAAGTACAGTGACGAGGTTTCTAGAAGATTTTACTTTTGGTATAATACCGTCGAGTAGGTATAAACACCTTGAGGTGTTTAACAATCGTTTGATACAGTATTAGCATGTAAAGCTGTATAGCAAGCGTATAATATATAAAATCCTCTTAAAAAATAACAACAACAATATAAACAGTTTTAACAATTTGACAGAGAATGGAAAACTGTAATAATCAAAATTATTGAAAATGTATAAAAAATATAGCAATGATATGTTTGACGTATTTTTTTTTGTAAAATTATTTGTACTCGAATCGAATTGAAATTTGTGCGCCTATACTCTCTGCCAAATTAAGCGAAAATTGGAATGGTCAATTAATTTCTTTATCATTATTTTGGCTAAAGTAAACTATTTTTAATAATACTGAAGAAATGGATACTATCGTACAATTTTAGCCTAGCCTAACAGACATCTTCTTTAAACCTATTCTAAAACAGCTACTTACAGATATACCCAATTAACTAGAGAAGAGTTTTTCACTAAAATTTGCTAGCCTAAATCATTATATTTCGGCTAGAAAAATGTTTGGTTAATAGTACAGCCTACGATATATGTTTCGTTACTATCTAAACCTAATCCAACAACTTAAAGAAGTTTTTCCCAATATTAAAAATTATTACCTCAATCTATTACTTTTTTGACCTTATTTTCCAATTCATATTAGCGATTCGTGTGTTACATTATCTCAAAGTGTTACATCGAAAAGGGAGACAACAGAGAGAAAAAGTTTACAGGGGCATGGCATGCAAGCTGGCGGAGGCGTGCGCCGCCGCCGCGCCGCTTCCGTACACCGCCCCCAGGTGATCCAGGGGGTAGGAGAGCAGCGCGGCGGCGGGCAACGCGTGGTGGTGGTGCAAACTCGCCAAGGCATTACCTGTTGGATACGGCAGTCCGAAACTAGGGTAGCCCGAATAACCTCTGCCGGCCGCGTAGGCGGCATATGCTGCCGCCGGAAAACCTAAAACACACAAGAAAAAGAATTAGCATTTTAAAATCTTCATAAAAACACTTGGTGTTCCCCAAGGTTCCACCTTGGCACTACAATCTTTAATGTGTACCACAGGGGTCTCTTATGGCACCAGCATCATTATTGCGGTCTCAAGAAAGATCATTATGCTAGACTATAACTCTTTTTAAGTTAATATTTAATGTTTGGTGTCCCCATTCTACAAACAGAAATCATTAATGTGCACCACAAGGATCTTTCTTGAGACCACAATAATACAATACTTCTAAAAATTCAAAAATTGTTGATAAGAGGAAAAACTTTCTTATTTTGGCGTGTATACAAATAAGTATATTATCATACCCTTAAAGGATAACAACTTATTTGGTGGGTTATATAAAATATTTATTAACAAATACATTTCAAATTCAAATTAACAAAAACAAAATTTTTATAAACTTCGAACTTCCTAGAGAAGACAGTCTTCTAATAGTGTTCTATAGAGTATCTAAAAGCTGTCATTTTCAATGAATTAACAAAAAAACAATACAAAACGATATATAAATACATACCACGATTTTTTTAAAGGGATCTAAAGGGTGGGCCATGTTTATGTTGAATTATAAAATAGCAATGAGAACAAGAAAAACTGATTTTTTTTTCAACGAATTTTGCTTTATTTGATTTAATATTTCTTCCGATTATGTATGGAAAATGATTTTATTTAAGTGGCCACCTCAGCTGGCTCGGCAGTAGCCCATCCTGGAACACCAATTTTCGAGCACTTTGTCAAAAGTTTGCTGCTCTATTTAGGCAATTTGAGCTTAAATGTTTTGTTTTAAATGGTGAATAGGCTTTGTTACGGCGACGTGTGGATTTTCCGTGGCCCAAATCCTACAGTTTTGCTTGTTGACATAACCTCCGAGGTAAAAATGCGATGATTTTTCTTGCAAAATTAGGGTCATCAAGGGCTCAGCAAAGCGAAAACGTTGTGGATGGTCAACTTGCTTTAACTCCTGAACAAGCTGGACTTTGTACGCAAACATACCGAGGTCTTTGTGCAGAATCAGAGTGGTACGGGAAAGGCCGAGTTGTTGACATCTGCGCCGAGTTGATGTTGACGCGTTCATGCGTACATTTTCGGGCACAGCAGCGATTGCTTCAGGTGTACGTCTAGGACGAGCATGCGAAACATGTTTTATGTCCACCAGCATTCCATTTCTGCGCAATTTTTTGATCAAATTTGTAATACTTTGGTTTGTGGCGCCTCATTTCTTCCAAACGCAATTTTCTTGCCGTCTCTGCGATCACAGTCACATTCAAAGTAAGTTTTGAGTATTTCGAAACGTTGATCCAAATTTATTCGGTGCATATTTTGTAATCGGAAGGTTAAAACTAAACCACTGTTAGCAATTCATGGCGCTTAAGTTGAAAGCTTCATTAATAGCACGTAGTTTAAAATTCAACTTATAGATGGCCCACCCTTTATTAATATTTTTAAAATAACCCAGTGAGTTTAATATGAGTGTAATAGTTGGCTATGACCAGTTCGTAATAATTAATTAATGCTTAGATTATTCAAAGGTTTTTCAATTCGGTCAAGAAGTGTATTTTTATGCTTCGCTCAACTGTAGGCCTTCGCCACGCGTCGGCCTTCAAACTTAACTTAAGCTCAGCATAAAAAGACTCGCTTCTGGACCAAGTGACATAAATAGCTATTAACAGTGTTAAGTTAAATGCGCAGAAAAATAACAGGTATTCCTCAATACCTCAATAAGTTACTAATGTTAGCTTTTACTTACCGTCAGGTAATGCTCCAAGTGACCACATAAAATCTAGAAAAACGAAAAACAATCCATTAGTTTAAAATGCAAGAAAAATCGCGAGAACATTAAAAAAAACATAAAATACTAAAATTTAACTATGTTTCACTTCGTTAGCATCCATGAAATTTCCAACTACGTGTCTATAAACTAGTTACCTACTACTTTAGTTATAATTAAAACAACGCGAATGAAGCAGTTTTGAACGTTTAGTTTGCTATTCTACTACTATAAACTACTAATTTTATCGTAATTTTTAATTGAGTTAAACTATTCACAACACCAAACATAGCAACAATTATAGAAAAAATATTTTAATACGACTCGTTTTTTCTATAAAAGCGCCATACTGGAACGTAGAGTATAATAATTATAAAATTCTTTGCTATATTTAAAAACTATGTTATTCTTTTTTCTATTAAAAATAAACAATATTGTATGCCTCTACTCTATGTATACAACGATAAATATAAATCTGTACCTATTATATTAGCCTCTGAAAAAACGGGATGTTATACAATAAAAATATTATTTTTAGCGCTATGCTAGTAAATATTCTATGCTATAATTTACACAATTTCCAAGTTTGATTAGAACCTATGCTAGAAGAGAAGACTATGTTAATATTATTTTTCACACCAAATCTACCACTAAAGTTTTTTCCTAATTTTAAATTTGTTGTTAATGTTATAGTGGTAAATTGGGTGTATAAATTACAAAATTAATAGTTCTATCTATGTCTATACAAAAGTTAGGTCGCACCTTTGTAAGGCTACAGTACATTGACAACCAAGCCAGGATAAATCCTCAAAAAGGACCAACAGGGATACCTGACAGGACCTGAAATAAATTGACTACTGCGCCGATAATTTTTTAAAATTTTAAAAAATCTATTGGAAAAATTATCTATCGCTAAGTAAATCCTAGTTTTACATTATATAAATTAAGTTACTGTAGTTTTAGGTTATTATTTTTGTAAAAAAATTGAAATAATAACCTAAAAAACCTTGCTCCTAATTGATTCTAAATAAACAATATTTAGACACGCTATTTCGAAATTTCATGAAACTATAATTGATTGTTAATTATCAACTTTGTAAGGATGAAAATTCGGGATAAGGGTTATAAAAGAGTTTTTACCGCTACTTTTTGGAAAAATATGTTTTGCTAATATAATGCTTTTTGAACTAACAGTCTTTTTCGTTGTAGCGAATTTTTCTACTATTTATTATTATTATCGTGAATCACATTAACTACTCTGGAACTACTGATATGTCAAGAAAATTGATTTCGTTTATATAAAATTATAATGATAAAAAAATATTGCAATCAGAATAAAGTGAAAGATATGTACTGTATTTGTTTTGAAAATTGAGGCTTGGCATGCAATAATACTTTATATAAAATGAATTACATTCGCTCGATAATTTATTATTATATTGATATTGAAAATCGCACAAAAGATAGAATAAAGATAAAAGGAATGTTGTAAAACAGTCAATTCTTTCATAAAAGATATGGACAAGTTTCGATAGATAATAGACAGTTTCTGCTAGATATTTTTCTATTCTACGACATCGATATAATATTTAAGCCTTTTTCTGAAAAAGAAACCGAACTTTAATGTTTAAAATCGGGGTTTCACAAGGATCTACCTTGACACCACAATAATTTCTAAAAATTGTTAAAATGAGTCCATACAACTTGATTTTTTTTCTTCCAAGCCAATCTAATGAAAAAACATTTCTTCAGCTGTCAAATTAATCTATATATACGGTTTTTTCAATAAGAGTGATATGTTTTTTTGTTAAATAAAACAAAATCGAAATAAGTTAGAGCAAAATTTTTTTTATTCCAAAGTACAATCTATTCAAATATGTTCTAAAAAGCACATCATGCTTCTCCTACAGAGCTTAATACGAAAAATCCAATTTTCGACCACTTTATTTAATAAATTAGGACCTATTTATCGAATTTGGTGTTCAATATTTAATTGTTACATGTTTATTAGCATAGACCAATGCTTTAAATAACCCCACAAGAAGAAGTCCAAAGGTATTCTGTCACAACATTTTGGAGGTCGTCAATATCAGAATTTCTTGAAATAATATATATCTATAGACTCTACGAACTTTTCTTGTTGAAATAATATGTTCGTTAAATCAATACTTTCTAATTCAGGCCATAAAAATTATATTAACATTGATCAGTATCGCTCCGATGACGCTACCTTGCTACAAACCACACCAAACGGTCACTTTTGCAGAATGTAAAGGTTCCTCGTGAATAATTTGTGGATTGGCATCAGACCAGTAGCGACAATTTTGTTTATTCAATAATCCAGAAAGATGAAAATGAGCTGCATCGGAAATAATTTTTTTTGCAAAATCAGCATAATTTTTAAGTTTTTCCAGAGCAAAATCAGCTAATTCACTCCGTTTTCGATGATTCAAATGATTTAACTCTTGCGTCATAACAATTCACTAAGGATGAAAGCCCAAATTGAAACGTTAAATACGCCATGTGGAATTGATAAATAAGGAGCATCCGTGCAAAACCGGCTATATCCACTTTAATAAAATGTTGGGAAAATGTCAAAAACTCTCGGTTTCCTGGCCTTTACAGATAAAAGAAAAAGCAAACTTGAGTTTTGTGGGCTTTGTGGTACTTGATTTATAAGACATACTTTCGTTTTCAAAAACTTTATATTAAGGCCAAAATTTCAAAAAATGTTTTGTAAATAGCCGGTTTTGCTCAAAAACCGAATAAAATGTGAAAAAAAAACCTTTATTATTCAAAAATATTAACAAAATAAACTTAGTGCAAACATGAAAAAACAGAACAAATTTTAGTAGTAGTATCGACAAGCCACATGGTCATCATCATTATTATTTATTGAATATAGCCGGGTTTGCTATAAAAACGTGGATTTGGCCGGTTTTGCCCCTAAAGCTACCTTTTAAATGTGATTTTAACATGGATATAGTTGTCTATAGAAATGAACCCAAAGATGCGAAATCAGAAAAAAAAAACTGAATAAAATGGATTTAGCCGGTTTTGCACGGATGCTCCTCAAATAAGGGTCTTCATCAATACTTGCCCTAACGGCAGCAACATTCTCTTCACTTCGACCGGATCTCACTGGCACGCTAACATTTTGAAAAGAAAGATTGCAATATAAAAACGATTATTTTGATAAAAAATTGGATTATTTCCAAACGTTCTTGAGGAGTGTATCTTTCCATAATTAAATTGCACACCTTACTTAATATAACTGACAGTGACAGAAGATTTTGACATTTCAAATACGGCCTCACTCTCGATTCAAAAACATATCATCTCTATTGAAAAACCGTTATTTGGACAAAAACATTTTATACTTTTCCAAGAGCATGATACATACAAAAGTTCAGTTTCTTTGGGTTCAGAAGGTTTTTTAGTAAAACTCTTAATTTAATTCTAGAGCCCCAGAGCGTTATGCGCGTAAACCGTGTTAAGATCCAGGCCCTGCACCCCCAAGAGATCGTTCATGCTGTACGTTAAAGTGGGGGGCGCCCTGTGGTGCGCCATGGGGCGCAGGGCGGCGGCCGGGGCGGCAAAAACTCTTTTACAGCCGGCCAGGTCGTAGAGGGCGCTGGCGTAGTGCAACTGAGTCGCGGGCGTCACCGCAATGTGTGCGACCGGTATGGATGGACCGGGCAGCGACACCGGTATGGGGTAGGGCGCGTAACGTAGGGCGGCGGCGGCGGCCGACGAGGCGGCCATGGCGCCGGGTCCCAAGTGCCCTGCCGGGTTCAACATTAGCAACTCACCGTATGCTCCGCGACCTGCGGCCCTGGTCTTGGCCAGGTTCGCAGGCAACATCACTTCTTTCGGCTGGGCTTTCTTGCATTCGACCTAGAAAAAACAAAAATAATTAGATTTAGTCAATATAAAACATATACTTTTTTATATTATAATAATTATTATTACTAATGTCGATTTTTTTAAAAATGACATCAGTACAATCAGCAACCAGTTTTGAATTTGAGGAGATCTGCAAATACCCCCTACCAAACAATCTGTGGGTTATTACGAACCTAATTGTTTAAACAAGTATTCAAAAAGTCGTTTAAATAAACTAACAATTCAATCTAGCGGAAAGCAGGGAACTAAGTATTTTAAGGTTGGTAATGTAATTGACGTAGGATGCCGAGCGCTTCGAGCAGAATGCCGAGAGATAAAAACAAGGGGGAAAACCCGCAATGAAGAACGGGAATTTTGAAGAGCGGGTGTAAAAAAGTTGTTAAATGGAAAAGTGAGTTAAATTTGCAGGTGTGTACATTCTAATAACAAAATTATTGTAGTATAAATAGTCCCAAAAAATTTGGTAAAATTAGTTTAAACAAATGCCTTGTAGTGTTCTACATTAAATTCCAAATAATAAACATTATAAATCAAAAAGGTACTTAATGTCAGGGTTGTACTTGGTTTTATCTAATTATTTTAACAAATAATTTTATAAAAGCTGCTTAAAATTTAATGAATTTTATGGATTTTCGTGAAAATGGGATTTATTGAACTCACATATTCACATTTATGTCCCGTACTCAGTTAAGTGATTTTTACCAGTCCTATTAAATTACTTGGTATTACTTTTGGAGTGAGTAGCGACAGCAATTGTGCGATGGCAAAATTTAATTTATGATCGCTGGCCGCGGTCTCCTTACACAAGAAACCCATTTTGAATTACTATCCTGTAAATTTTTGGTCGGTTTTATATGACTGCGCAGACGCAAACATTATCTGTGTTATTTGTATCATTATAATATAAGTTTGCCGATAAATGAGGCAAAATAGACAATTGCGAACCCTCAATTGGACCGATATGGAAGCCGATTATTTATTGGCTTCTTATATTAACAGTCGATTAAGTCTGAACTCTAATAAATATTACATGAAAAATCATGTAACAGTAAACTTAAATTCAACATTTAATAATTATAAAAACTTTGTACGGAGGATGCATATAAAATTCTTGTTGGAAAAATGTATATTTAAAATACAAAAATAGAGACTAAGCCTCAATCTACTTTTACACAACAAACAAACGAACAAATAGACAAAATCAACGAACATCACTTCAGAAAAAGAGCTCAGCTCACACCTGAGATACCTGAGGTTCTACCTGATCTTATGGTTATGATGAATTTTTTTCTTTCATTTATTTATTTATTTTATATGTGGGTTGTGGTCGCAGACTCGCAGTATGGAGATTTTGTGTGTAGTTTTAAGGGTTTGTAGGATGCCCCTTTCTTTCAGAGTTCTCTTTCAGAAAATAAGTTAAATGTTGTTTGGGTTATGGTTGCTGTTGTTGCTTTATCCAATAAATTACATTATTGTTTGTTGTAAATTTCGTAAAAAAAACTGTTTTTAAACTAACAAATCAGTCGACAAATCGACTTTATCTTCAGTAAAGTAGTTGATGAGGATAGTTCGTTCTTTATGTGCTTTTATTTTCCTTCGATTCAATAAAAAAAAATTGTTTAATCTATTGCGGAGAGTGGAAATTATTGAATTGTATTTTATAAACAATCAATATGCAAGAGTAACGGCAACTTGGTTTAATGAGAGGCATGAAAATAGACACGTATATCATGGTTACATCCTAGAATTAGTAGCGAAATTCCGACAACCTGGTTTAGTGGCAAATGAAAACGAGATATTGAAAATCCTTTGAGAAATAAGGCAGAAGAAGTAGCCGTTCTGGGTAAAATTAATTTTGACCCTACATTAGGTAAGAAAATGCTTTCCGGGAGTTTCTGAGAATACTGAAACATAATAAATGGCACCCCTATAAAATTCAACTTCTTCAAAAATTGCATGAAGATGATTTACGTTTACAATTTTGTGAAATAATGTAAAATGAAATCTTTAAACATGTAAGCGTTCACACCCCCCCCCAGCAAAGAATCTGTAAAAGTTACACCCCAGGTGATAAATGAAATATAACACCACGGCAAATGTTATATTAAATTACGACAAATAAATAAAATAAATACTTACGGTAATAAAGCTCATTAATTTAGTAACCCAAGGTACTTGTAAGGTGTTGTATTCATGGGGAAAGTATTTAAAAGGGAAATAAAAATACAGTAAATAAAAGGCAATAAGTTACGTTTGAACTCAGGTCAAAACCCGGAAGGCTCCCGTTTATTTTTTTTTTAAAACCTTCCAAAATGAGGGATTATGGGAGTGAGTTTCACGTATAAAATATTTACAATTTATAACAAACAATAATGATATTTATTTGGATAGAGCAACAAAAATAACCGCAACCCAAATGACATTTAACTTAGTGAACTCTGAAAGAAAAGGACCTCCTACAACCGTTAAAACCACACAATATCTCCTTACTGCGACTACAACCCAAATATAAATAAATATATAAATACCATTTGATAAATAATACATCATACTAGAGCTTAGCTCTCGTTTTTCATTTTTAATTTTTATCTTCGCTTTTTGCTGATTTGTTTGTTTATTTGTTTGTTTGTTTGTTTGGTGAAAGTAGATTGAGTCTTAGTCTCTATTTTTGTATTTTAAATTTAACTTTATTCATCAAGCATTCCGTTTGCAATAGGCCTCCATCATCCAAATAAAGTTTTTGTATTATTATTTACTGTTGAATTTAAGTTTACTGTTACACGAAATTTTCATGTAATGTATTTAGAGTTCAGGCTCAATCAACTGTTGGAAAAGGAGTAAATAATAATAGGCTTCGAGGTCATTCCAATTGAAGGTCCGCAATCGCCCGTTATGCCTCATTAGTCGGCAAACTTTAATAACTTAATAATTACCATAAAATACTAGGTAATAAATTGACCAAATCACAAAGGGCAATTTCTGCGTTGCGCATTCAGATGAATACTGACCTTTACACACCTCTTAAAATTTACAGGATAGAAATTCAAAATGGGCTCATTGTGTCAGGACTCCACGGAAAGTGAATAAATCAAATGTCGCTATCGTACAATCACTGTTGCTACTCACTCCAAATGTAATACCAAATATTTAAATATGACTGGTAAAATTCACTTAAATAATTACGGGACATAAATGTGAATCCGCGAATACAATTTTATAAATCCCGTATTCAAGAAAATCGATATTAAATACACTTAATTTACACAGCGTTTATAGAAAATCCCCTTTTGAAATATTTATTAAAATTAATTAAATAATCCTAAGTACCGTCCTGACATTTAGCTTAATTAAATCGAATACGGTCCTGCCTATTTTAATTGAATGAAATACACGTAAAATTCCTGCTCTTTTAATTTGTTAATACTCGTTAAAAATCCCTGCCTTTTATTAGATAAAATACACGTACCAATTGTTTATAACTTAGAATATAAATTATAATACGAAATACCTAGTTTTAAACGTAAATTTTACAGCGTGGTTTGTTTCAAATGGCAGCCATTACAGCTAAATAGATCGAACGATGACGCCAAGTCAATTGATCGAATATTTATCTTTACACAAGGTGTTTGTGTAAACCAATTATACCAAAATGCTCGGGAATATTTATACTACAATAATTTACTTATTTAAAATGTACAAACCTACAAATTCCAACACTTTTCTGCACACACAATTTTTATAACCCTTGTCGCTGCTCGGCTCTGCTCCAATGCTCGAATGCCTCTTCTCCCCTGCCCGTCACTTGCGTCTAGCATTCTTCCCCCCTACCTTTTCCCACTTAATCAGGAGAGTCTTTCTAACCAATGGCACGCTACCTTATATATGTCATTCGTATTTCCGTTGCGCTAAATTTAAATGTTAGTTTTATTTACATGGCTTTTTGAATACATTTATTTTAAACAATTAGGATCGTAATAACCCACGGATTGTTTATTAGGGGGAGTATTTGCAGATCTCCTCAAACATTATTGGACAATTTCCTCGAATAATAAATTAATAAAATCTGTATGTTATGTTGATTAACAACGTCAGATTGGGTAAATGAAAACGCCCGTAACGTCGTCATGTTGGTAATAGCTCGGGGTTAGATTAATACACGTTCCCGACATGACGTTAGTTATGTTAATGCTTTGCAAAACTTGTGCTCAGCACAACTTAAACAAATTTACCGGTAACCTTTGAATTTCGACGAGAGTGTCTAGTTTGTCAAACAAAACTTACTGCTATGCTATGCTCTATTCTCTTTGCCCATCCATGTACCTATTTATATTTAGTAAAGCGTTTAAGAAAGTCTTTTTTGCTATATTTGTTTAACGAAATCTTAAGATCTCTATTTTATACATTTTAGTGTCTTGGCTTTGGTTTTAGTTTTATGTACTTCTATAAAGGATCTTGCAACAACAACCTATCCTTTGAAGTTTTTAAGTCAAAAGAAATTAGATCGCAACTTCTTGGTGGCTAATTCTGACCCTCTGAGAGGTAGCGCCACCCTGAGACTATTTAACAACTTAATAAGGATAAAAGTCATTTACACTGTTTCGCTTGTTTTAAAATTGAGGTTCTTTATATTAAAATTTATCCAAATATGTTGTAAATGCAACTTGACAGTATCGTTATTCAAAATTAATAATATATAAAATGTAACATACATTCAAATGTAACATACATTTACGCTTTATAAATGAAGCAAATATGAATTATTAAAATTCGCGCGAAATTCTACATTGTTGTTAAAAATATGATATTTAATAAAATAAATGAAAACCCAATAATTAATTAACATGAAAACACACTCAGTTATAGCACTTCCCAAATAAATTTCATAATTTCTGCTAATTGGTATACGTTGCGTTTTTATACAGAATTATTTCATGCAAAAACAAAAAATTTATAAGATTTATTTCATTATAAATTTTACTATACAAATTATTCGTATAATAAAAACTGACAACATATTAATTATTGAACAATACTGGTCGATACATATTGTAAATATTGAAATATACCTAACCTTAAAACAGAAAAGTTTTTATTATACTTTTTATTATACGAGGACATAAATAGTTATTTATGATATAAGTTCTAAAAGTGATAATTTATTTTGTGGGCTCAATGCGTTAATAGTATATTATGTATCAAGTTTCATAAACGCCATTTTATACACGAATTTAATTTAGAAAAGTTTATAAACGAGGTGCATACTATACTTTTTCTACGACAAATACTTATTACTATGTTAAAATGATTTAAATCAAAAATTTGTATAGAGCGCCATCAATGAAACAATAAGGGAATTTGTGTGTCACCGTCATAAAGGTTATAAATCGAAATGTATTTCTTGAAAATTGACAGTTTTTCACAGTGAAAGTAAAGAAAATGTTTTATGAGCACTTTACAGTGGAGTCCGTGCCCGAATTTAAGTTATAGTTTATTGCCGGCGAAATTAAAAGGTCAGTACAATGTTCATATAAACTTTTCAAATATTGGCGTTGAAAAACTATTTAATACTTTTGGATTTTTGTATTGAGATAATAAAATAATTTTCACATTTAGTATTAATTTACAAGAAAGGCACTTTATTTTAACGATTGTATGACATTTGACAACTGTCAACTAACTTAAAACTAACTTCAGACCGTGACTAAAAACCTGTTGCTAACTTCAGCCGGTGACTAAAGCGCCATAAAGCCACAACTTGTGTTTTTAAAAGGTCACAGTGACCTGGTCACTTAGTGTCATGGAAACATGTACGTTAAAGGACGTTTTAAAGGTGGGAGTAGAAAAAATTAATTTGTGTCTGACTATGTAACATTTCAATATGGCGGAAAAAACGAAAGATGGTGGTGGTAACTCAAAATCTAGTATGCCATTTTAATACACTTGTAACTACCCAACTTTTCTTGTTGCTCTTCAAATAAAATCGATACCCATACACCCTCTTAATGTTAACAAATTCCAACAAAAAAATGTTTACTACTCAAAAAAACTTGTGTAGACATGTTTATACAATTAAACTGTCAATTCAACATGTTAAGTTAAAGCCTTATATTTTGTAAGATAATTTTTTGAACCTAAATAAATCGCATTGAAACAATATTTTATACTTTTTCTTTATAAAGTTAAGGCAATAAATTTGTAAGGTTTATATGAATACCGTATTTGCGATTTCCATATTTCAATAACTGTATGCTAGTAATTTTTAAAGTAAAATAAATAAAGTGCAGAAAAGCCATTAAAAGAAAGCATAAATCAAAAAATAATGCACAGATAGAACATCATTCAATTTCGAATGTGTATTCAATAATAAAACGGTAGTCGTGGAAGTTTTTCCTAAAGAGAAAAAAAAATGACAAAGCATCATAATAAAACTCACCATTTTATTGTTAATCTCGTGGAAATGTATTTCGCAAACTTTATCTACTACGTCCTCGCTTTGAAATGTCACAAATCCAAAACCTGCAACAAACAGAAAAAAATACAGTCAACTTAGATTGTCAATTGTTCGCGGTTTCCTATGTCGGTTATTATTTATTTGTTTGCGCTACAGCGGCCACGTCTTGCTTATTTTAAAAAGTTTCCGTTTTTCGGCCGGGAATTAAAAAGTTCGTCAGAGCCAATGCATTTATACGTATAGCTTCGGGTAAATTGCTTAAGGCAATAAGCGAGATCGATATATACGAGGTGTGTTCAGAAAATATCGGGAATTTTCGTTTTTTGAAACAAAAATTTATTTATTCGTCTACATTAATGTTGTCACCTTTAAAATAGTCGTCATTGGATATTATGCACATGTGCCAGCTCTTCTTCCAATACTCAAAACACTTCTAAAACTCGATCTTTGGGATACCCTTTAGTTTTTTCAGCGATGCGCTTTTAATGTCATCTATGCTTGCAAAACGACGGCCTTTTAAGGTTCTCTTTATGTTTGGGAATAGGAAAAAGTCAGACAGAGGCATGTCTGGCGAATATGGAGGCTGGGGCATCATTACAGTATTGTTTTTGGCGAAACATTTTGTTCAAAATTTAACTATTTTGGAACAAATTTTGCTGCCACGCATTTCATACCCAAAACATTCAAAAAAATTTCATGGGATGAGCCAATCGATATACCAACATCATCAGCGACTTCTCTGATGGCTTATAACCATTTCTTTCACTTTTTCCATGTCTTTATCGGTTGTTAATGTGCTTGTGCGTTCGGGGCGTTCGTCATCATCAACGTCTTCACGGCCATCTTGGAAACTTTTATACCACTTGTAAACTCTTGTTTTACTTATAGCAGACTCACTATAGGCCTTTGTTAACATTTCACAGAATTTATTTCATTTTTTAAGCTAAATTGGATACAAATTCTTTGATCCATTTCTTTTAACGAACGAAAATCGCCGAGCTCATAAAACACGTCTAACCTTAGAGGCTGCCACAGACAAAGTAAACAATGAAAACAGCTAAAGTTTTTATCATACTTCGGGGGCATGTATACCAACATAATAAAGAAAATTTTTTGACAACCGGACCCTCCGAACCCGCGAAATTTATCAATTTTCGTTATTTTCTGAACACACCTCGTATTCAGTTTAAATCTTCCTCTTATAATCTGGCCACACCAAAAAACAATCGCAAAATATGACGTACAGGGTTGTCATTTTATTTCTTTTAACTCGCTATCGCGTCCAATTATCTCCCTTAAAAAGCGGTTTAATTAAAAAAAATAACTTTTTATCGAGTGAAAAGCGGCTGACAGAGGCGTTAATTTAATATTAAAAAGTGTTTCCCTTTTATCAGTTACGTGTTCGCTAAAGAAAATAAATATAAAAATTCCCGGTAAACATACGGGAGGAAATTTAAAGGAAATCTCGATCAAATTTATTAAAAGGAAAACGAAGTTTTTCCAAAAAGGAATTTATAATTATTGTTTTTTTTTGTGCTTTATAAAAGTTTAATTTAATTTTATAGTCAATTAAGGGCGAATAAAACTCAAATAAAAGTTAAATATTTGGAATAACAATATTACAAAAAGTCGTTTAGATTAGAATAACAGAATTTCTCCATTTACTTTTTTGTTACTATTAGTTTTTATTAATTGAAAAAAAAAAACGAAAAATACTGAATAAAACTGCAATTCTAGATATTTTTCCATAAAACTTTTATTACAATGTAGAAAAATTACTTTGTAATGTAGAAAAATTACTTTGTAATTATTTAATTTAAATGTTTTTAAAAAGTTTGTAAATTCTTTTTAAGGTGTTGTTTGGCAGTTTTTGCGGTAAATAGTAGTAGGTCTTAATAAATGGTGAATTAGGTAGGTAGGTAATAAGAGGGTGCGTGTTTTTTGCCGGTGAAGATGAAGAAACATGGATTTGTTCTCCTCCAGTTGTTTGTGTAGAAAAGTCGTTATCGGGGGCGTTCGGGCAATATATTTCAGGCGATCCAGGCAAGAAGACAAATTATCCCAACATATCGTTCAGTTTCAGCAGTCTTGAAAACAATAATTAATCACAATTAAGGCAAACTTTATTTGCACTTTATATTCATTAGAAATTTTAGATCTCTCTACGTACGATTTAACCTTGTGCCCGACTTAATTACTTACTTACTCGCTTACTTCTTTGTCTTCACATCATTATTAATTATATTTCGGGCATGGTTAGTTTTAAGGTAAAGTTTTAATTGAGTTAGTCCGTTTTTACTAGACCCAAGTCGGGCGATTAATTAAGCAAACTCTGGGTATAAAAAATAATACATTGTAATTTTACATTTTTAAATATTGTTCTTTTGAGCTGGATTACAAAATACCAGTTACCAATTTTTCATAACTACAAGTGTGGAATTTAGAATCAAAAAGGTCAGTTTCTTACAAAAATGCATGACATTTAAAAGATATAAATATTATTAAATAATAAAGCTTTTTTAACCAAACCCTTGTACTCGTTTTCTAACCAATTACTAAAGCATAACAAACAATGACTATTCAAATCAAGTGGAATTCACTTATTGTTTGTCACCTCGTCAACATCACGTAGCTTCGTCTCTTTTCTTTTTATGTATCGTTTCATTTGGCCGTCTTTTTCTAAGCACTGCATTTCGCTGGCATATATTATACAAGGTGTCCCTAAACTTATTGGCATAAATTTAGGAAAAGATTAAGCAAGGAAAAATAAGTCAAAAACCTAAATAAATATTTTTCCCAATTACTTATGTTTCCAAGATACAGGGTGATAAAGGGTTACTTATCATATCAGTTTTTTTTTAATAGTAAGTGACTGTTCGCAAAATATCACCTTTCCTAGTCTACCATAGTAGAAGTTATATTAAAAAAAACTGATATGATAAGTAACATTTTAACACCCTGTATCTTTTAAACATAAGTAATTAGGAAACATATTTATTTAGATTTTCGTCTTACTTTAACTTGCTTAATCTGCTCCTAAATTTATGCCACCTTGTATATTACCATAGTAAATCCAGAATTGACGGTATAAATGCCTTTAATTTATGGGATGCTTTTTAATGTAGCAGATTGCGGTAGGGCTTAATAAATGAGTGTTTGACTGTGATGTTTTTCTATGATATAATTATTATTTTAATTGGCAATTAATTAATAAAATTATAATTTATGTTATCGGAATTAAAATTAAATGGGAAAACATAAAAAATGTCAAAACGTCAGGTTATTTAATGCATTTGTGCTTTCATAGCATGCACGCCACTGCTTGCCGAATTTATTTTTCGGGAACCCTTTGGTTCAACCATTCTCTGACTGTTAAAGCATAGTGAGGAGGACCTCCACCTTGATATAAGTACAATTCTCCCAAGCAGCATTTTAAGTAAAATCGTAGCTTTGAGGCAATATTACTTAATTTAAGTAAATATTTTGTTAAATTAACCTTAAAATTTTTATTTATTTATTAAGTTTTATTTATGTTATTTTTACCTACTTTCATAACTCTTAAGTTTCAACACTTTAAAGTATTATGAGGGACGTAATTTTTACGAAAGAAAATTACTTATAAGTGTATTTCACCTAAAGGAAAATTTAACGGTAATTTTAACGTCAAAATTTTTACTTAATGGTAAATGTTACTCATAAGTCATAATTTTACGATATTAAGACCACTGTATAATAATTCCTATTCGCCTGGTATTTTTAGGGTTATTAGAGGTAATAAATACTATTAATATTGACCCAAAAGTTTAAAATAAGCTTAAAGTGAAAAATAAAACTTTAAGAAAAAATTGTTTTCAGGTCGCCATAATAAGTTTTTTAAGATGGCATCCGTTACTTATCTAAACATTTATATAATATTTCTTCATAAATATTTTTCTAAAATATAATAAGGAAAGTTTTAGTTATTAAAACATGATTAAAACTAAATGATTTTTAAAAGATTTTATAAAATTTTGTAGGTTTAAGTTTTGTTGAATTTTTACCAAAGCAATAATTTTTCTTAAAACCGTAAAGCATTTAGAGGGCATATAATTTTTTCTATCGTTTTGTTGAATTTTTACCAAAGCAATAATTTTTCTTAAAACCGTAAAGCATTTAGAGGGCATATAATTTTTTCTATCGTGCCTATTTTTATTAATAAAATAATGAGTTTTAATGCAAAATATTATTAGTTTTGACAATTTAACTTATATTTTTTAATTTTACTCTAGAGTACCATTTTGTAAAATATAAATTAAAAGAACAAAGAAATTACGAATCACAATGTTTTAGAAAGAGATTAGTAATTAATGCGTTATTTTTACGTAAATTTGTATTTATATTGTTTTTATTAATTTATTCTCTTAGTAGATCAAAAAGGTTTTTATGTAGGTAAAATAACGAAATAAATCATTCCCCAAATTTGGTAATTTTTCGTATCTATACCGTTATAAAACCGTTTTGTTTAATCGTAAAAAATACTTAGTAGTAAATTTGTAGTTATTTAAACTTTTGTAGAGTTTTGATAAAAAGCTGTCCAATTATCTCGTTTCCAAGAATACCATGTCTAAAACGATCAAATCCATGTATAAAAAAGTAGAGTAGCACCTTATGAACGAAACCAATGGAAATATTTATTAAATCAGCTACTTTTGGAATGGATGTGGATCCCACAGTCAAATGACTGAGAACTTTATTACGATAGCTATCATTAAATGCTCACTGCATAAAAATACTATTTTTTACTTCTTAATTATTTTTTAGCTTTACTTTATTAATTAAGTAGTAAAATGCATGAACTAAAGTTTTAAATTTTTTACAAAACAAACTGACTTTAAGTCTAACAGTGTTAACTCTACATTTGTCTATTTTTGTTTCATTCGATAGAAGATTGTCCTCTTGTTTAGTTTGCAGACAAACCAAGAATAATCTCTTAAAAACATCTGGAT